ATATCAAATGTTTAACAAATAAGTTTGGCAACTTTTCTAGACATTCGTTTTTATTAAACACTCGCTCGCAAGTTTCGTTTGTACCTTATTAAAACTAAAATGCCGTTTATAAAAATAAATACATAATATACAGCACAGATGGGGTTACAAAGAGAGAAAAAAATATTTTAAATTTTATTCTTGGTGAAATCAAGCAAAAATTTGTGACACATCATTTATTGTCTATGGCTAATTTGCAATTTTGATTTTTCTAAAAAAAATTTGATCATTTGTATTATCTATTTCTATTGCATAAAATTGGATTTTTCTGTGAATAATGACAAACATTATTCCCTGCTAAACAGTGGGAATAATAAACCCATTATTTACATTGTTATCATCAGTGATTGGCCGATTTCAATATTCACTGTGATTTGAACCAATCAGGTTTTAAATTGGGAGAAGGCGACTATAATTTGACAGATGTTAGATTGTATTTGTTTAATTTTGAAAATCATTTAATTACTTACATATTGGAGTAAATAAAGTATAGTATTACACTCGAGATTATGCGTATTATCTTTTGTATAATTTTACACAGTTCAACACGATTTTCCTCCCATGAAAAATGTAAACAGATTTTAAAATTAGAGGTTAAAAAACGTACCCGTGTCTCACCGTTTTACGAAATCATGTCATTTATTTAATGTCCTATTTTTTTCAAATATTGTATATTTTTAAATAATACAAAAATTATAAATAAAATAATAATTTTAATTTTATTTAATAAAAAAAAGTTCTATTTTAAATTTTTTATTTTTTTTAATAAAACTACATATTTTTATTTAAAAACACCACTTGATTTATTTCGTAAATGTGCAACACCTTGTATAAAATTTAAATAATTTTAAAATTTATCTTTAATATTTCTCCATTTATTTAGTGTAGCTGTTATATTATGTGCCGAATACCACGGATAACATTTTATTTATATATATATTTATTTTATCATTTTTTTAGTTTATTTTCAAAATCTGTGGAAATTTTTTATGGAAATTTTACAATTTACAATTTTAAAATTTCTATTCAACATTTTAAATTATGCTAAAATGTTTTAACTTAATTACTGAAGACTTGACTAATATAAACGATGAAGAGAGAGTCCAAAATTTGGGAACATTTGCGTTCATCAAATTGGCACTTCTGGTTTATTCTAATTGTGACCGTCTGGGACGCATTCTGCCACCAACACCATCACATCAAGAACATTTCCTACGGGGTGCATACTAATGAACATTGCGCCTGTAATTGATGTGATTTATTTCTCTGCTCACTCAACTGGTGCACAATGGTGTGAGAATATTTTAACAACTGAAGAGTAATTGAATATCAAATGAATGTCTTGTTCTTAAACTTTAAAGTAACTGCTATTGTGAATTAATAAAATATATTTTGTTAATGATTGTAAAGGGTGTTTCACATTCGTGGTCCATTAGAAATTTCAGGGAAAATGAAAAAGATATCGATTTAAAATTATAAAAAATTATAATCCATTAAAAATTACGCTTTGAACGTCTCTTCTTTAGAAACTTATGACGGGGGTTACCACGTAATCTGTCATTGTTGAAAATTTAATTGCGTCAATTTTTCAGGTTGTATTTAAAAAATTTTGACTAATTAGTACTTTGTAAACAAAATAACTGATAAAAAAAGCAGTCAGTGACTTATAAAAAACATTGACAAGCCAAACATTTTTAAATTTAAAAGTAATACAAACAGAATTTGCTAATTTAAAAACGCTGTATGATGTCAACTAGATAAAGCACAATAAAATATAAAATTTAATTATGAAATAGGTATTTTAATAACGAAAAAAAATGCTTAACTATAACAATTTAATGAACCAACAATATTTAAATTAACAATTTCTATTACTAATTTATTACTGAATGTTCTATATTGGGCGTTGCTCTTCTTGACTATTTTAAAAATAGTATTTTTGGTCTGATATTAGAAATTGTTAAAATTTAATATCTAATATTTAATATCTCTGAAATTATTAAATTTAGGTATAGGGAATAATTACATCAATCAAAATGTTTTTTGGTTACATTTAAAATAAAAAAAATATTAAGGTTTAATATTTAAACAAAGTTTAAAGATTTTAAAAATTACACTCCCATATCCGCAAACGTAATAACGACAAAGTTATGGGCTATTTTTGATTGGCACGCATTCGTCAAAATTTAACGAAAAAAATTAATAACCTAAAAATTATTCACTTTAGGTATAGGACATGGTTTAGTCATTTTACTTAGAATTTTATGTAGAGTTTAAAAATGTAAAAATATAGTGTTCTATTTAAAATAACAAAGTTGATGTCTCTTTCGGTCAAACCGGAAGTGGAATTTTGTTTAAAATATTTTAAAAAAGAAGACGTAATTGGATTTTATAGGCTTTTAAAATTTCAAATCGATATCTTTTGCTGTTCCCCAGAAACTTTTAATGGGCCACTTTTTTAAAATAGTTATTTTTTACTACTTAAGTAATTAAAGTTTGACTAATTTAAGATAAGTCACCATCTTTGACTGTTTCTGAGAGTAAAAAGTAACTTATTTCTTTAATTGTTTTTAATTTGCTTAGCTTATTGGAAAATATATAAATGTATTAAATAAATAATTAAAATATAGGCTCTATGGTTAAATGACCCTTAAAAACAAACAAAGATGCAAAATGTTATATCAAAACAAAACAAAATCTACTAATTTTACTATTTCATTTAGTAGAATTTGACTAATTATTAGTGACTGCTTTTTCACTGTGAGAATTAAGTAGTCAAATAAAATTAAGGAAATGAATTTTTTAGTTTTAGAAATTTGAATATTCGTTTAAAAATTATTAATAAATAAACAACTAAAATTATATAATTAAATATTTAATAAATAAGCCATTTTGCCCACCATCTCTCACTAGTATTTTCTTGTGTAGTTTGGCTCACTAAACGCGAAAATCACACTTAAAATTTTTTCATGGAAGCGTTTTCGAGATATGAATTTTCAATTGTTTTTTTTTTTTTAATTTTCTGAGGTGTTTTGCATGCTAAATAGCAGTAAAATGTCACAATGCCAACACGAGAAACAAAAGAATAATGTTTTCGGTGAAAAAGTACATAAAAAACTTAAAAAATTCCAATCATGCACTTTAATTGGGTTTTCATTAAAAAATAAACATATCGAAATAAAATAAACTAAAAATCTTCAAAAAGTTGAATTTTTGTCTTCCACTAAAAAATTCATAACATTTTTTCATGTATTTTTATCAACATTAGCTTTTTTTGTAAAAATGTCAGCTTCACGAAAAAAAATCCAAACTGGATCTGTTTGATTTAAACCTTTCCCAGGACGATAAAAACGAATTTTTTATGTTATTAAAATCGCTAACGTCAAAATACTTATCAGATATCAAAAGTATGTAAAAGAAAGTTTTAGAGGGCTCAAATACCTTCAATTTAAGGGCTTGTTTGACCAAATCGATCAATTAGATTTCAAGCTGTACTCAAAAACGTCAAAACAATTCCGAAAATTAAAAAAAAAACAATTGAAAATTCATATTTAAAAAACGCTTCCATAAAAAAGTTGTTTGTGATTTAAATTAAAATACATGGAAAAATTATAATGGGATATGGTGAGCAGAATTTTTTTTCGATTTTGCAGACTAATAATAAATAATTGTTTTTTTCGATTAATCGGTTATTTGATTAATCGATTAAAAATGCTTATAGAATGTACGTTCATTCTTTATTTAAAACAATAATAATAACTATTATTATAATGATAAAATAATCGATGAATCGAATAATCAATTAGTTAATAATCGATTAATCAAATAATTGATTAATCTATTATTACTAAAAAATAATCGACGGTTTGATAATCGATAAATCAATTATTTTGCCCACCCCTAGTTAATATTACTCGAAAATAAGTTTTTTTGCACCCTGACACATAATATGTATAATCGGTATACATATTATGTATACCGATTTAAACTGTATTAATATTCAAGTGGGTGCCAATGACCAGTCGACGTTCTATGCTCCACACCTCAAAGTCCCACCACGTGACCACGTACGGAACGCAGTCTTTTGAAAATTTGGCATTTAAGACTTTTCAAGTCATGTATCTGTCAAAGTATAGTCAACGAAAGAAACAATATTATGTTTAGGCGTTAAAAATGTTTAAATCTTTATAACATTAGAATAACAATGGATGGTTTAAATTTATTTTGACCAAAATAAATAAGTATTTTGGATTATTTAAAAGACTGTATAATATGGTATTTAAAAATATGGTAGTTTTTATTATCCAGCTTAAAGTGTACCTACATAAAGTTTTGTCAATACAAATAGTTAAAAAGCTTCGACTGAATTTGATCTACATAAAAAAATCATTATAACTTTAAAAATTTTAATAAATCACATGTCATGGGAATATTAAATATTTTTACATTGTAAGTTTCTCTAAAAATTGTTTGTTTTCTTATAATCTAACTTAAAGTAAGTATGCCGAGAGGTATGCACAAGTTTTGTCATTAATATCACTTATATTGCACCTTACAATTTGGAATTTCATTAAATGCAGTATTTATATTCCTAAATTCTTAAACCAACCATTGTTATTGTGATACTATAAAGATTTATTAACTTTTAACGCTTAAACATAAGCGGTAACACTATAAATATTATTTCTTTCGTTGACTATATTTTGACAGATACATAACCTAAAAAGTCTTAAATGCCAAATTTTCAAAAGACTGCGTTCCGTACGTGGTCACGTGGTGGGACTTTGAGGTGTGGAGCATAGTACCTTAATGAAATAAAAAAAATTCGAATATTCGAGGATTTGACCGTAGCTTACAACAGGTGCTAGCTTATTAAAAAAAACTATCGTACACCGTCACCTCAAATAATTTTGCATGAAAAAAAAAAAGTTTCTAAAATTTGTTTCTTTTTTTTTTTGTAGAACACCTACACGAACGCGGATAAGCTGCTGGCCGCGGCCGAGGAGCTCGCCCACACGGGCGAATGCGACCCGGACGAGATCTACGGCGTGGCCCACGAGCTGGAGGCGCACGTGACGTCGTTCGCGGCGCGCGTCGAGCAGCGCAGACGCCGGCTCGATCTCGCCGTGCTCTTCTACACGCACGAGAAGGAGCTGAACAACTGGGTGGACGACCTGCGGCAGGAGCTGCAGGCGGACGAGAGCGCGGCCGACGGGCTGGAGGCCACCGAGAGGCTGCTCGAGCAGACGGCGCAGCACAGGGATCAGAGCTTGGACGCCTGCTCGAGCACCATCGTGCAGGGGGAGGCCCTGCTGCAGGAATTGAGGTAAAGTACTTTTTAAGGAAAATATACTCACGGTGCTGTTCTGAGAGGGGATTTTTGGACTTCCTGTGACACCTAATTTTTTTTTATATTCTTGTTAATTAGGTCATAACTAAAATTTTAAGAGCAAAAAAAAAATTTTACGGTTTGAATCGTTTTAATTGGCTGTTTATTAAAAATATTATGCACTCTTTCAATTATCCAATTAAAACTAGCGATTTAATTTAAATATTTAATATTTGCATAACTAAAAAAAAGGTTTTTACAATTTTTTTTATATATATTTTACTGTTTTGTTGCAATAAACGTTCAAACTTTTAATCAAACCTTTGACGTATACATTTATGTTCCCTTAATTAATATATCCTTAAAGGTTGCCATATGGAACTTAAATCTATTAAAAATTTATTTGACGTTTGAATTGTCATTTTCAGTATACGTATTCTATAATTTTTGTTTAGTTTTTTAAAGTGTTTTTTATAAACAAAAATGAAAAATTGTAGTAAAAGTTACGAAGAAATTCATGAAATTTAACTAAGGACCGGTTTATTCATCTTTAGTAAAGTTTATCGGGCCGATAACTTTCATGTCTTGGCAATATCTAGTATCCAAAGAAATTATTCGTCAAATAAATCAAAAATGAATAAATCGGCCCTAAATAAAATGTGGCACCCTTAGAATTATTGTTTAATAAATGTATACTATACATTTAACCTAAAATTAAAACTTTAAACGTGTATTACAACAAAACAGTAAAAGATATAAAAAATGTATAGACCTTTTTTTAGGAAATTAACTAATCTTTAATCTGATTTAAAAAGTTATGATAATATTTAAATAAAATCGCAAGTTTTAATTGTAGAATTGAAAGTGTGCATACATATTTTTAACACATCCAATTAAAACAAAATTAACCGTCAATTTTTTTTTATTTTGCTCTTAATATTTTAGTTATGACCTAATTAACAAGAATATAAAAAAAATTAGGTTTCACTGAAAGTCCAAAAATCACCTCTCAGAACAGCATCGTGTACTAATAACGAGAATTATATAAAAATCACCAAAAAGTTCATTAAAAACATTCTCTATCTAAACTGCGCACCACTCAATGTGTCGCGACCAAAAATTTCGTTCTTTTTCAAAACGACATAACTTTTTTGTTTCTTGAACGATTTTATTTTGGTTTGTGATGTCTGCTAGCTTCATCCTCTGGCAATTTATGCTATAGATATGAATAATAATAATTTAATAATAATAATAATTTTATTTATTGCCCAACAGTTTTCACAATAAAGGACATTCAAATAACAAAATTACAGTAGATACAAAAACAATTAGTAATATACATAAAATAAATAATAAAATTAATATACTTAAATATATAAAGTGGGGTTTAAAAAAAGTAGACAACGGATAAAAAACCGCAAACATATAATAAAAAAAAGAAAATTATTGATAAATATAATAATTAAATGGTTAAAAACATTGTAGTATACTCCTCAGACTAGAAAAATTAATATCACAAAGACTTGCTACTTTATTAAAAGTTAGGGACATTTTATATATCGGCGACCTTACTAACATGTTGGTACGTGCCCTTGGACACTTAAATACTAATGTTTGCCTATTATTAGGTCTTGGTACATAAAAATTTAACTGTCCCAGTAAGTCACTACAGTCTATATTATAGACTCTATAACATTATGAATTAATTTAAATAAGAAGGTTATGCAGATTTTATCCCTTCTTACACTTAAAGATTCAAAATTAAAGGTATCAAGCAGTACCAAATGATCAAAACCCTGAGGGGGATATACTCCAAACGTTTTGTAACTTAAAAATTTTAGAAATTTACGTTGCACTGATTCAATTGATTGAATGTGGCACAGGTAAATTGGCGACCAAACAATCGAGGCGTACTCCAACTTGCTGCGTACCAATGCATGAAACAACAGCTCAAGGCTCTCAGGTTTCGAAAAGGTTTTGCAATTTCGGATTATAAATCCTAATGTTTTATATGCTGATTTTGTAGTGATAGCGATATGTTCGGTAAAAGTGAGATGCGTGTCAAAATAAACTCCCAAATCCTTCATTACACTGAGTGACTCCAAGCTGACCTCATTTATTTTGTAATTAAAAATAACTGGATTTACTTTTTTAGTGTATCTGCCTATTTTACATTTCGATATGTTTAAAGTTAATCTGTTTGTTTTACACCATTGACCTAAAATATTAAGATCATCTTGGAGATTAAGACAGTCATTTATAGTAATGATTCTAGAGAATATTTTGAGGTCATCAGCATATAAAAGCTCACGGTTCTTCAAGTAAATTTCCTACAGGGTGATATGTTAAACGGTGAAAAATTTCAATAACTTTATCCAAGCCCCGTTTGTAAAAAAATATATTTTTTTCGTTTTTACTTTGAAATAATGAAGTATTATGTGTTACCTTGAAACGTTTTTCAAATTTTTCGAATTGGAATCTTAGCAACGAAAATATGAGTTTTTTTTCAAAAGAGTACATTTAAGGCTTTTTTTAGGCAATTTAGGAATTGTTTTCGAATTTTGATTCTTGATGATTTTGGTTTTATCTGAAACTTAAAATTGACAACTGAATCACAATCAGGAGGTCAAAATTATAAAGAAAACATGTCACGAACGTAAATATCGGTTGAGGTTTAGTTTTCGCAAATTTTCACCAAAATGTCATTTTGAAAAAGTGGTCTTTGCTTAGGCCCCTCTGAAAATAATGGAAGTTTGTTGCTTGTCGCTTGTTCAGAATTATTCAAGGAACAATCTTTTACCATCTTATTTTCTTGTTCTTAAAAAGACTGAGTATATTGCCTTCCAAAAAGCCTTAAATGTACTCTTTTGGAAAAAAAATCATATTTTCGTTGCTAAGATTCCAATTCGAAAAATTTGAAAAACCTTTCATGGTAACACATAATAATTCATTATTTCAAAGTAAAAACGAAAAAAAAATTATTGTTTTACAAACGGGGCTTGGATGAAGTTATTGAAATTTTTCACCGTTTTACATATCACCCTGTAGGAAATTTACTTAAAGAACCGTGTGCTTAATATCTATAGCATGAATTGCCAGAGGATGGGGTTAGCAGACATCACAAACCAAAATAAAATCATTCAAGAAACAAAAAAGTTATGTCGTTTTGAAAAAGGACGAACTTTTTGGTCGCGACACATTGAGTAGAGCGCAGTTTAATTGGGTTAAAATAGGGTTTAACAAATAAGATATACCGTATTTTCATTTAAAATATACGAGGTGTGTTCAGAAAATAACGGGAATTGTTAAATTTCGCGGGTTCGGAGGGTCCGGTTGTCATAAAATTTTCTTTATTATGTCGGTATACATGCCCCCGAAGTATGATAAAACTTTAGCTGTTTTCATTGTTTACTTTGTCCGTGGCAGCCGCTAAGGTTAAACGTCTTTTATGAGCTCGGCGATTTTTCGTTCGTTAAAAGAAATGGATCAAAGAATTTGTATCCAATTTTGCTTAAAAAATGAAATAAATTCTGTGAAATATTAACAAAGGGCTATAGTGAGTCTGCCATAAGTAAAACAAGAGTTTACAAGTGGTATAAGAGTTTCCAAGATGGCCTTGAAGACGTTGAAGATGACGAACGCACAAGCACATTAACAACCGATAAAAACATGGAAAAAGTGAAAGAAATGGTTATAAACCATCAGAGAAGTCGCTGATGATGTTGGTATATCGATTGGCTCATCTCATGAAATTTTTTCGAATGTTTTGGGTATGAAACGCGTGGCAGCAAAATTTGTTTTAAAATTGTTAAATTTTTAACAAAATACGTAACGTAAAATATGTAATGATGCCCCAGCCTCCATATTCGCCAGACATGCCTCTGTCTGACTTTTTCCTATTCCCAAAAATAAAGAGAACCTTAAAGGGCCGTCGTTTTGCAAGCATAGATGACATTAAAAGTGCATCGCTGAAAGAACTAAAGCCACAAAGATCGAGTTTTAGAAGTGTTTCGAGTTTTGGAAGAAGAGCTGGCACATGTGCATAATATCCAATGGGGATTATTTTGAAGGCGACAACATTAATGTAGACGTATAAATAAATATTTGTTTAAAAAACGACAATTCCCGATATTTTCTGAACACACCTTGTATATCAAGATACGTTAATATAAAGAAATAGTATAAAAAATTAAGTATTTAACAAACAAAATGTCAATTAAAACTTGTATAGAAAACCTTTTATATGCGACCAAGTTGGTTTCTAAAATTGATACTGTAAAATTTTGGATGAAAGCATATAGTAATAATTTTTTGTGTAAAACTTAAACAAGCACGTATTTTAAATTCACAAATATTGTATACTTTATTTTCTAAAATTGTAAAAATGTAACGGGTGCGACATTCGAGTATTAAAACTCCTCCGTGTTTATTCTTAATGTTAGCTTCTTAGCATCACAATGTACGAATATTCTAATGGTTATAAATTACGTCGGAATTAAACTATTTGACTTTAGATATAGTTGTTATTTTGTTAAATAACACATCTGATTTTTTGTCAAGGTGGGGTAAGGTTTCGTGGAAATACCCCAAAGGAAACTTAAATATTAGTTAAAAAAACGTGGGTACTTAAAAAGATTTAATTTAATAAGATACCAAAAAAAGTGATATTTTTATAGAAAAATTATTGCAGAATCGTATACAGAAGAAAAATCGAACAAAATTGATTTTTTTTCATTACAGTGCCATCTATTACAAATATGAAAAAATGTTTTTTACAAAATCTACCTATTTTTAGTCGAATGATCCGAATCTGCAAAATAGGGTGTTTAATTGGAAATTTAAAAGTTACCCCCTGTTCCCCCTATAAGGAGGAGAGTATGAGGACCATATTTAGCACTGATTGATTTCCCCCCTCGAATTTAATTTTTATTTTAAACATTTTTTCGTAAAATGCCTACTAACTGA